ATTGGCGGTAGAGTAGCCTCATACATACGATCATGTCTAGAGGTACACCAAATTCACAACCAAGAGTTTATCAATCTTGATGAATCCGTATGGTCAACAATCTCTCAATCCTTTCCCCCCTCAGAGAGAAGCAAAAGTGAGCCAAAATATCCCACTAACAACAGGAGCTGGAACCTCAAACGGTTGAATGTGTCCGCCTTACAGGACTATCTACAGCAGGTGAGTTGGGATGTTCACCCTCAGCCTGAAGTGGATGCTCATTGAGATTTCTCACTGCATACGCTCTTATGTACTACCAAGCACTCAGTTCCTCAAACTGTCCCCGAAAGCTACAAGCAACCTACAATCATCAGGAACCACACTCTTATTTTGCTAAGCCACAAAAGTCACTGTTAGGCGGAATACAGACGAACTGGTAACAACAACGCATACAGGCGATTCAAACAAACAAGGAACACAAAGGTAATAAGAGAAGACAGGCTTCAGTACCAGATGAAGCTTATCGATAAATTTGTTTCGAATCCGAGAAGGTTATTCCGCTATGCAGCTTCTCTTCGACAAGCCAAAACTGGAGTTTCCCAACTGCTAGGCCCCAATGGTCCGACCAATAACGACGGTAATGCAGCTAACCTGGCTGAACAATACTCTCGGACATTTCAACCGAAATACATCAACTACACTGATGAAAGCTTCATCTGCAACTCTACAGGACTTTCTGAAGTGAACCCGAGCGCTGACTTGGTGTTTCGTGAAATGCAACACCTAAGAAAAGACATTTCCCCTCGACTGGATATGGTCGATTCTGCTAAACTGAGGGAAGCAACTTCAACCCTGTCAATACCGCTTAGCATGATGTTTTCACACTCACTAAGCCAAGGCAAATTACTGAAAATTTGGAAGTCGGCTCATATCACACCAATTTTCAAAGGTCGATGCAACGAACTCTAAAGTTACCAACTGCTGGCTCTTCCCTCTATACCTTCGAAAATTACGGAGTCCCTGATATGTGATGATATACACGACTATTTATTATCGATAAACGTTTTCTCACCACAAAAGCATGGTTTCAGGAATGGTTACTTCTGTATAACCAACCTGATGACTACGGTAGACAGACAAACAAATGAAGAAACTCCTCTCTAGAAGTATCTCAAGTCGAAAAAGATTTAAGAGTGCTGGTATCCTATGATTTGAAGTCTTACGCTAACTGTGACCAAAATGTCTTTTGAGCAAACCTTGCACTGGTAACATTAAAGCGCATTTTTGGCCAATTTGACGGTTGAACTTCCCACATAATCTCCAACAGTTTCATTCGTCCCAATTCGGGGTACAGAAACATAGTATTTCCTCCCTCACTCTCATAGGATAAGGACACTCTGTAGAGTATCCAACGGCGAGTCACGAAATCAGTTCGGGGACTCAAATTCAAACCTTATGAAGGGCGCCTCCAATCACTTGACCTTTACTTATTAAATTATAGGCGTTTTAGAGGTGACCTTCTAATAACTTACAGCATCCTTAACACTTCTGGACATCCCCTTAAACACCTACTTAGGCTTAGCCTCAATATAAACCTAAGGGGTAGCACTGAGAAACTGGAGAACCAACATAGCGGAACGGAATGCAGACAAGTTCTACTCCTTCAGAGTTGTCAAATGCTGGAATTTGCTGCCGACTGAGCTAGTCCAAACGACTTGGGCACTTGGCGAAAAAGACCTGAAAATTGTAAATTTTCGGGTTGTGAGGCTTCGACAGAGGATGATGCCGAAGCCACTCTGGGTGAAGCACGAGGACACTTAAATAGGCTTCGGATCTGTTATACCAACGCCCGGAGCTTACTAAATAAGCTACCGGAACTAGGTGTACAGATTGACTCAACTAGGCCAAACATAATTGCAGTCACAGAAACATGGCTGACGCCGTCTATAGATAGTAGGGAACTTGATTTCGAGGGTTTTACATTAGTAAAGGCCGATAGAACACAAACGCGTAAAGGAGGGGGAGTAGCTCTATTCATTAGGAATGCTATTCCATTCACCATTATCGACAGTGTATCCCATGAGAGTGGGACGTATGAATTAGTTTGCTGCCGCCTGAAATGCAGGGGACAAGAGTTACTGCTTAGTTTGATCTATCGCAGTCCAAGCTGTGAGGCAAACGAGGTCCTACTAAGCAGTCTCAACACTTTATCACGAAGTGATCGATGTCTAATCCTAGGGGACTTTAATGCACCCATGGTGGACTGGGGAAATCTGCGGACTGAATCGTCAGCAAACTCCTTCGAACAGGAACTAGTTGATGCGGTAATCACATGTGCCCTAGTGCAACACGTGAAGGAAGCAACTAGGTACGACCCGGGTTCTGCATCATCCTTACTAGATCTTATATTGACTCATTATGAGGATGATGTTGCAAACCTGGATTACATGCCACCCCTAGGCAAAAGTGATCATGCAGTTTTAAGCTTTGACTTCCATATAACTGTCGATCACGAGTACACTTCAGCTCAATCCAGACCTAACGTCTGGAAAGCAAACATACCAGACATCATGCACTCAGCATCATTAGTAGATTGGAAATTAGACCCAGAGTCATCAATCGAAACGTATTCCGGAATTTACACTTAAAAGTTACCACCCCCCGCATCCCTTGGACTACACCTAAGAGACCGAGAAACTCCCCACCGTGGTTCAGTAGGGAGGTTCGCATCCTTCTCCGTAAAAGAAGGAAAATGTGGGACAGATTTAGGTTACTGGGGACTGACGAGGCAAAATCTCAGTATCAAAAGGCTCGAAATACCTGTGCCTCGACCCTCCGTAAGGCCAGAAAGCTGTACGAAGAGAAAATCGTTAGGGAATCCATAGAATGCCCTAAACGCTTGTATTCGTATATAAACCAAAGGACAAAAAGAAGAAGAAATGTTCCTTCACTATGGGGAGACAGTACTGCCACATCACTAGTGGAGGATGACTTTGGCAAAGCTCAAGTATTCTCTAAATACTTTAGCGATGTATACACCATAGAAACACCCTTCTCACCAGTCCATGAAAATCCACCCACACAAGCACTGGACAGGTAAATCCACTGGACCCGATGAACTGCATCCTAGGTTATTAAAGGAATTAGCTAACTTTGTTGCGAACTTTTTAAGTGTATGTTTTAATCTATCCGTAACCCAGGGTCGTCTACCAAAAGACTGGAAGAACGCCATAGTAAGTCCAGTCTTCAAAACAGGTACAAAACATAAGCCTGAGAATTACCGACCAATTAGCCTAACTAGTGTGGTTGTTAAAATCTTAGAAAAGATTATTCGGAAGGAACTGTTAAAGTATCTCGATGAAAACCGGATCCTCTCCGAAAAGCAGCATGGTTTTAGAACAGGTTACTCTTGTCTCACAAACTTATTAGTCGCTCGTGAAAGCTGGTGCGCTCTTAAGGACCAAAAATTACCTGTAGACGTAGTTTACATCGATTTCAGCAAAGCTTTCGACAAAGTTCCGCATAACCGGCTGTTATATAAGCTAAGGAATGTCGGGATTGGAGGCAATCTATTGATGTGGATAAAAGACTTCCTAGTTGGGCGTCAACAAAGAGTAAGGGTGAACTCCAAGTTGTCTAGCTGGGAAACTGTGCTTAGTGGAGTCCCCCAGGGTACAGTTTTGGGGTCAGTGTTATTCCTCCTGTACGTAAATGATCTCCCTCGCCTACTATCGTCATCGGTCTTACTCTATGCTGATGATGTCAAGATATGGAGAGCGATACAAAGCAAGGGCGATAGCTTAGAACTTCAAAATGACCTGGAGAGATTATCTGAATGGTCCCAAACCTGGCAATTGCCGATAAACACTTCCAAGTGTATTGTGATGCATATTGGCCATCAGGGTACAGATACATACACGATGAATAACACTGAGTTACCTATTGTTCAGGCACACAATGACTTAGGCGTCATCGTTAGTCAAGACTTAAAGACTACTGCACACTGCCGTGCAATAGCCGCCAAAGGTTTTAGGACTTTATGGTCCATACGCAGGGCTTTTAGGCATCTTGACGCTAAAACGTTTTTCACTTTGTATACAGTGTTCGTACGCCCTAAACTTGAGTACTGTATACAAGCAGCTAACCCCTGCCTAAAAAAAGACAGTGAACTCTTGGAAAGGGTTCAGAGAACAGCAACTAGGCTGATTCTCGGAATAGCGAAGCTCCCGTATGGTACTAGACTGACCAAGCTAAACCTATTCCCGCTGTCATATAGAAGAATCAGAGGTGACTTGATTATAGTTTTCAAATTGCTAAATGACAAATTTGCACCTGATATGCCCTCATTTTTCTTGTCTTCCAAAACAGAAAATCTACGAGGACACTCCAAAAAAGTTCACAAGCCCAGAACGAATTACTTGTCAGCTGACTACCGACTTTCCCATCGAATAATCAACTAGTGGAATTCATTACCTCAGCACGTGGTTGAGGCTCCATCCGTCGACTCCTTCAAAAGAAAGTTGGATCAGCTGAGAGACCATCATTGCCAGGACTAACACAGGCCATCAAGCCTCCTGTCCTTTCCAAACTGAAACTGAAAGTGAAACTGAAACTGACTTTGCAGGAGTCCTTTAAGAGGAAACTTGGCGTATTCTTAATGAATAAGGATAGTATCTTACTATGATTTACCTATTTCCTTTTCCCCTCTATCATCTTTAATATTCCTAGGTTCTTGCCTGAAGGTATTGGTGATACACTGATACTAGACACGAAAGCCCGTTAAGCGAAAGCTTCTTATATTCCGTCCATAGCCATTAGAACCGTATGAAAACGATCACTGGTACAGTTGATTATAATAATAAGTGTGTCCATTAAACCAACTGCGTTCTTTTCATAAAAATAGATCACTACACTAGAAAAGGAATAACATAGGCGTAGGCCGTTTGTTTTTACTACACAAATGTGGATCTGATTCTTGGAAAACGACCTTGAGGTGTTTGTGGTAAGTTCAAGGTTGACTAGTGTAGCACGTTGTATTTCGACGTTTACTTGGGAGCAGGAGCGACCTGAAACAGCAACACAACAGTCAGGACAGACAAGTGCGTCTGAAGTGAGAACACGGTGTGATGGTGCAGCAGATATATTTGAAATTGAAATACGCGGTTTTTAATACAAAAGGGGAAAGTTATTACAAAATAGTTTTACTCATTATTCTGCAGGTTCAGACGGCGTAGGGCTTGTTCTTCTTCTTCCAGTGCATTCACTCTTTGTTGTCCTGCAATGAGAAATACAAACACACATTATTAATGTTGCATGTAATGATTTTTATTACCGTTACACTACCCCCTCTCTCCATGAGGCACTGTCCTCAGTGCCTGGTTGCGGGCACGGGTATGCTATTCCTCCTTCTGGTGGCACCTCATAATGGCTGGTAGCCGTCGGGGGATTGACAAACGGAGTATCTAAGTGCACCGTTGTTTTATCCGGCTTCAGTTGGTTGTAGTGTGCTGTTAGAACGTCGTCTTGAGGTCGCTGGAGGTTGCGTAGGACGAATGTTGTAGGGGACCGAATAAATACGATTTCGTAAGGCCCTTTCCAAGGTTGGTGAAACTTGCCGCATGTTCCTGGTGGGGCCATAGGGCGATGTAGCCACACACGATCTCCAGGTTTATATACAGGCCCGTTCGCATGTCGATCGTACACATTCTTTTGGTGTTTGCTGGCATTTTGAAGATTAGCTTTAACTAGACGGTATGCGTCAGCTAGACGGCTACGAAGGTTACGGACGTATGGTACATAGTCTTGAGCTTCGAAAGGCAACAACGGCATTTGGATCTCTACAGGCAAGCGTAATTCATGTCCAAAGAGTAAAATCGCAGGTGAAAATCCCGTGGAACCGTGAACTGATGCGCGGTAAGCTAACAAGCATTGGGGTATTGCATCATCCCAGCATTCCGTCGACGAATTATTGATAAACGACTGTAGGAGGGTTTTAATGGTTCGGTTTGTTCTTTCTACTAAACCGTTACCTTCAGGGTGGTATGCAGTGGTATGTGTTTTGCGGATACCCAATAATCGGCATACCTGAGCGACGAGATGGCTTTCAAAAGCTGTACCTTGATCGGAATGGAGTGAGAAGGGAGCGCCATAACGGGAGACCCAATGATCAATGAAAGCTCGAGCGACTGTGAGGGCATCTTGTTGAGGTATAGGGACGGCTTCACACCATTTGCTAAAATAGTCCACCATCACCAGTATATAACGGTTTCCGTTCTTTGATGTTGTAAGTGGTCCCATGATATCGATACCGACTCGTTGATGTGGACCTTCTGTCGTCATTGGGACTAACGGTGCACGGGGTCTTTGCTGAGGTGACTTGATGGCATGGCACGTGCTACAATTTCTGCAGAATTCAGTCACGTCTTCATGGATGGATGGCCACCAAAACCTCTGGCAGATCGCATGTTCAGTTTTTCGTATCCCCGAGTGCCCGAGTTCTCGATGCACCTGCTCCATAATATTCTGAACTTGCACACGTGGTACTATCAACAGTGGTTGTTTTGACTCGCTGACTATAAATAGTGTGTCCCCATACAATCTCAGGCTACTCCACTTGGTGCAAAGACGGTGCGTCGCTGGGGAATGATCCTTTAACTCTGCCGCAGAAGGTTTATCGTTTCCGTGTAGTTGTCGTAGGTAAATGAACTGCAGGTCGGGGTCTGATGCTTGAAGAGACGGCCAGTCGATCTCTGGGGCTGTGCTAAGGACAGCACTAATGGTACTAGGAGCATAGGGTATACGGGACAGAGAGTCGGCGTTTGTGTGACGGCTGCCTGGTCGGTATTCGCAAGTAAAATCAAACTCCTGTAGTCGCTCTTGCCAGCGTGCCACTTGGCCTTCTGGTTCGCGGAAGGAGCGGAGCCATTGTAATGCACGGTGGTCTGTGCGTACACGGAAAGGTTTACCTAGTAAATAATGGCGGAAATGTTGTAAGAATTTTACTAATGCCAACATCTCTCGACGCGTTGTCGAATATCTTGTTTCGCTCTTATCCAGTCGACGGCTAGCGTACGCAATTACTCTTTCTTGCCCATCTGGGGCCACTTGTGATAGAACTGCTCCAATAGCGGAGGAACTGGCATCCGTATCAAGTATAAATTCTCCCCCGCTTGCTGAGGTATCTGGAACGGCTAATATAGGTGGAGAGCTTAGTCGTGTCTTCAAAGCATCGAACGCCTGTTGACACTCTGTAGTCCATAAAAATTTTCGTCCTTTGTGCGTCAAACGGTGTAAGGGTGCTGCTAACGATGCAAAGTCACGGACAAAGCGCCTGTAGTAAGAAGCTAGGCCAAGAAAGCTACGAACGTCTTCAGGTGATTTGGGCTGTGGCCAATTAACAATGACACGTGTCTTTTCTTTATCGGTGCCTACTCCATCTGCAGTAATACGATGTCCTAAGAAAACTACTTCTTTCTGCAGCAGGCGACATTTGGACGGTTTTACTTTTAGGTTGTGTTGTTGGAGGCGATGGAGAACCGCTTTCAGATTAGCATTATGTTGCTCGGGTGTGCTACCATACACAATAATGTCATCGAGATAAATCAAACATTTATGAGGTACTATATCTTGTAAAACTGTTTGCATTAACCTTTGGAAAGTAGCTGGGGCATTCGTTAGACCGAAAGGCATTACTTGGAATTCGTATAAACCATTTGGCACTACAAATGCGGTTTTCTTTCTATCTTGTGGTCTGACTTCCACCTGCCAGTACCCTGATGCTAGGTCTAACGTTGAAAACCAACATGCGCCACTCACAGCGTCTAATATAGAATCGATTCTCGGAAGAGGAAAAGAGTCACGCTTAGTTATGGCATTAAGGCGTCGATAGTCTATGCAGAGTCGCAGAGAGGAATCTTTCTTTTTAACCAGGACAATAGGTGATGCCCAGGGGGATGATGACGGTACTATGATATTCTTGTCAAGCATATCCTTAATCATCTTATCCAGCTGTGGTTGATAGTGTACTGGCACTCTACGAGGCGGTTGACGTAATGGCGTATGATCACCTGTGGGAATAGAGTGCTGTACCGTGGTCGTCCGATTACCAGAGATATTCTCTGAGAAAAGAGAACCAAATTTTTGAAGTAAGGAAATAGTTGATCGACGGACATCTTCGGTTACTTGTTCATTAGTTTGTACCTGGTGTATGACTTCCGACACCCCTACGTGAGCTACCGACTTAGTTGCGTTCTTAAGGCAATGTGTCGGAATAGTTACTTCTCCGATTCGAGCTTCCGCCTTAGCTACCTGTATAACGACGTCGTATTTTAACATAAAGTCAACTCCGAGTATAACATCCCAGGTGAGTGTGTGGCATACTAAAAATTCGTGTAGGAACGAGCGTTTATTCACTGTCACCTCCAAACACACCTTAGACCGTACTTCCAGAAGGTCACCACCGGCTGTTTTTAGTGTGGAGAAACATGGTTTTTGTCGGCTTATGCGATCCAGTGTGCTTAAAAACCCTTCTCTCACAATGGATACTGAGGCTCCTGTATCCAGTAAAATAATAGTCTGTATGCCCTGTAAACTACCAGCTATTGTTATCGGATATACTGATTCAGAATAATACGAAGACAAATGGGAAAATCTAGTCTCACCTTGTTTCCAAAAATTATTGTGCCCACATTTTCGGGCTTTCCGGCCAAAGCGTTGGCAGTAAAAACACTCCATCTTCCGGTTATGTTGATTAGTTCTTAGCGGCTGTCTCTCGGGGCGTCGTTTGACCGCGGAAATCGTTTGAGTGAAATCGGACTGATGGGTTTCTTCAGGCTGTTCAATAGCATTCGCTGACAAATGCGGTGTATTGACAGCGTTTAATAGCTTGTCTGCGGCCGCGAACCGTAGAATTGTGGTTCTTAAATCCTGAATGCTTTTTGGCGGCATGTAAAGAAGGTGCTGTCGTAGTGCACCCGGCAAAAGGCCTTCTGTGAACCGTGCGCGTATTATTTCTTCCCGTATAGAGACGTCTAAACTCGGGAAGGCTACAATTGCTGCCTGCTGCAAGGAGTGCAGGTATTCCATGGGGTCCTCACTTGCTTTCTGGTGACGCGACAGGAACTGCATGGTCCCCAGCTGTGTATCTACTGTTAGCGAAAAGCATTCATCAAGCACCTTCCAGTTTTGGGCAGACGAGTTACTTGCAGTGAAACCGTTGGTAATCGCCCTTTTTGCCGCTTCATCGTCTAGACACGACAGGAGATAGTCAAAATGTTCGGCAGCTGGGACCTTACGTAGATACGTCGTCATCCTGACCCTCCAAATGGCGTAGTCCGAAGAAACTCCCAGTAGTGGTGGCTGGCGGATGATTGCCCCGGTTGCTGGCTTGCTTGGAAGGACCGGTGGTTCCTCACAGTTTTCATCTCGTTTCGACGTAAACACCTCCATCACCACTTGTAGCACGTTGTATTTCGACGTTTACTTGGGAGCAGGAGCGACCTGAAACAGCAACACAACAGTCAGGACAGACAAGTGCGTCTGAAGTGAGAACACGGTGTGATGGTGCAGCAGATATATTTGAAATTGAAATACGCGGTTTTTAATACAAAAGGGGAAAGTTATTACAAAATAGTTTTACTCATTATTCTGCAGGTTCAGACGGCGTAGGGCTTGTTCTTCTTCTTCCAGTGCATTCACTCTTTGTTGTCCTGCAATGAGAAATACAAACACACATTATTAATGTTGCATGTAATGATTTTTATTACCGTTACACTAGTTTTGCTCATTAAACACTACACGAGAAAAGAGAATCTGCAAAGTTGTAAAGATAGTCGACTGTATTCGAACCACATATAAGACGAGTATAATATGCTGACAGCCTTGAGTTAACCAATCAGAATTAAGGTAACGTGTTGTAAAAAAATCGTGATTCTACGCAATATTGCGTAGTCGATATCGACTTATGTCGATTATCAGACCCTTAATCTCACGCTTGTGTTATTCCTAATTGTTGTGGATTGCGTTCATTATTGAATGTAAGTACATTCTATGTGGTTAGTGTTAAAGTGAGCCATGCATGGTCTCATCGTTGGAGATTTCAATGCACCCCATATAAACTGGATAGAGCTCACAGCTCCAGGTGGGGGTTTCGATAGCGTCCTTCTGTCATCAATTATTTAATTTGCACTTGTACAATGTATCGTTAAGCCAACACATATAGACTTGGAACATAATCCGTCATTGATAGACCTTGTCCTCACACACCACTGTGAAGATATCGTTGACATTCAACATCTTCCCCCACTGGTGAATAGTGACCATGTCGTACTTTCCTTTAAGTTCCGGATACATGGTATAGAATTTGCATCAGCTCCACCCCGTCCTAATATCTGGAGAGCTAATATTCCGGCAATCAGGGACTATGCTATCTCAGTTGACTGGTCGGTCGATGCTGATGGATCGATTGATGATGCATGGAATAGGTTTAAGTCTACGTTCGAATCCGTAACTCAACCGTTTATCCCATGGTCAGCACGTAAGTTATCATATTGCCCTCCATGGATTAATAAGGAAACCCGGAAGCTGTTGAAGCGTAGGAAACACTTCTGGGACTTATTCTTGTCAACAGGTCAGGCATCATTTAAGTGCGAATATAAAAAATCCGGAATATATGTAAAAAGACCATAGCTAAATCCCGCACGGCTTACGAACGACAGTTGGCATACGATAGCCGTACCTGTCCGAAGCGACTGTTTTTGTACGTTAAAAGGCGGACGAAACGTAGTGATGGTATCCCCTCATTACTGTTAAGCGAAAATTCAGCTTTATTGGCTGAATCTGATCTGGCGAAAGCGGAGTTATTTGCAAACTATTTCAGTGAAGTCTACTCTACGTGTAGTGTTACAACTACTTGTCCCGTTGACAATGAGATACCAGCCATAGGACCTTTACACGTGACTGATAAAATTGTTCTTCCTTTGATAACTAACCTAAAACCTTGTAAGATACCGGGCCCCGATGGGTTACACCCACGTTTGCTGTCGTCGCTTGCGGACATTATCTCAAGACCGCTCACGATGCTCTTCAACATGTCCCTTTCACAGGCTCAACTACCTAGAGACTGGAAAGACGCCATAGTTAGTCCTATATTTAAGGATGGTCAGAGACGGATAGTATCTAACTACCGGCCTGTTAGCCTGACCAGTATAGTAGTTAAGTTACTTGAAAAATTAATTCGGGCTAAGCTACTGAGCCACATTGATTCGTACAATCTGTTAACTCCCGAGCAACATGGGTTTCGTAACAAGCATTCATGCTTGACTAACTTACTCATTGCGAGAGAGGATTGGACAGCTGCACTAGACAACGGCCAGTCTGTCGACGTGATATTTATAGATTTTAGCAAAGCGTTTGATAAGGTTTCACACTTAGGTCTTATGCAAAAGCTCTCGAGCTTTGGTATAACAGGTGCTATAGAGGAATGGATAGGAAGCTTCTTATGTGACCGCAGACAGAGAGTGAGAGTCAATGGAACTCTATCCGAATGGAAACCGGTCAAAAGTGGTGTACCCCAAGGCACCATCTTGGGCCCTTTGCTTTTCCTTCTGTATATTAATGAATTACCTTTATTACTTAAGTCGTCGACGTTATTGTTTGCGGATGATGTTAAAATCTGGAGAACAATAAGAAATGAGACTGATCGTTGTTAACTACAAGCAGATTTAGACGAATTAGTTAGGTGGGCTCATGATTGGGGCCTGGAAGTTAATTCCAGGAAGAGCGTGTTCATGCACATCGGGCACGATATTAGTTACCACTATACCATTAATGGTACATCTCTGCCACGCGTTCATGCGCATAAAGACTTAGGAGTAATTATAAGTCACGACTTAAAAACTACAACGCACTGCAGTGCGGTTGCTTCCAAAGGCTATCGCGCGCTATGGTCGCTTCGCAGAGCATTTAAATGCTTTGACGAGGATATGTTTCGAATTTTATATCCCACCTATGTAAGGCCACACTTAGAATACTGTATCCAAGCAGCTAGCCCTTGTCTGATAAAGGATACTAAATCGCTTGAGCGTGTCCAGCGTGTAGGGACAAAATTAGTAAAGGGTCTTTCCAAACTCCCTTACGATGAGCGTTTAAAACGTCTAAATCTTTTCCCCTTATCTTATCGTAGGACGCGAGGTGACCTTATACTGGCATTTCGTATCTTTAATTATGATCTGGGTGTTAATATGTCCTACCTTTTTGCTCCCTCCAGCACTAATAATCTCCGGGGTCATAGCAAGAAGGTTCTGAAACCGCGATCTAATAAACTAAAGGTGGGGTCCCGTTTTTCTCATCGAGTGGTCAATGACTGGAACGCTTTACCAGAACAAGTGGTATCAGCACCATCAGTGAACATTTTCAAAAAGAAGCTGGACCTTCACTGGAAGGAAATCTGTCAGGATTAACACAGGTTCATCAACCTACTATCCTTATTACTGAAGACTGAATTCTTCTCTTGTTATTTCCTCTTCCAGATTCTCTCATAAGCTACTTTTTATGCTCCTTCAGCACATAAGTTACCTTCAGGCTAAGCGCTAACCTACAAAAAGGTTGAACGTTACAGCCTCTTGTATTTTGAGCAAAATATGAAGTACAGGGACAGATTACTTGTATGTTATTACTAAATGAAAGCTGATCCCTAAAGTGTTAGGAATCAATAAAATATCAGCTGTAGTGACCGCGACTCAACACCTACTACACGGTTATCTGATAAAAATATGAGTTTGAATAGTACGTAAGCTAAATTGCTAAAAATACCTGCTGTCAAGGTAGATTGTGTGTTTAGGTACTTCATGCCCAAGCAAACCAAAAAGGGAAAAATAGGAGACTTTCCTTTAAAATCAAAAAAGAGACGCACTTTTTTTTGTCACCGTGGTCACGGCGGATTTGAAATGTCACTGAATTTACTTTGAATTACCTACATTCCCCCTGATTTTACTCAAGATTGTCTACTTCTCACCTAAACACACAAAACTCCAGCCTAACTCCTAATACCTAACCCTAATATTCTATCCTGCATTATAAAGGCCTGTAAACAACTTTAGTTTACACTTAACAGCTTAGTAGCCATATATAAGCTGATTAGCATCTTAAAATATTTATTCAACATTCACGTAAAGTGGCCATAGGCTTCTTGCTAATCATTGGAATTCAAAACAAACTTTATTTCACTTGAAAGAACCAAGGACTCAATGTCGCCAAACGTTCAGAAAGAATACATAAATCTGTTTGAATGTCTCAATTCAATTTGTGGTTGCAGTAGTCAAGTGTTTAGATACATTAGGTTAAACTCTGTCAAAAACCCAGAATTTTCTGTGGCATGACTCAAGCGTATAATAGCCAGTTGGCATACAGTAGAATGTCATAACATAGTGGATGTCGAACAACCGTCATATTTGGTTTTTATACCTATAGGAACTCGAAATTACTGTCTAATTATGGGGGATGGGCCGAAGATGTAACTGAAGTTTCTATCGTAGTGAAACTCCAAAGTTTCTAAAGGATCTTTCCTTTTTGTCATTGCTATCCGACTACCTGTTGTGCTAAATGTTTACTATATATCCTAACGTATATTTCAGACCTTTTCGAAAATTACATGCATATTCTTCCAATAATCTTTGTATATTTTTCTGTTTCTGCTGTGCATTTATAAAACTTATTCGGATGGTTAACTAGACGCTTTCGTATGAATAAAAATCCTCAAATGACACAACTACCTATGAAAAAGTTAGTTAAATTACTCTTTTCTGTTGTTTCAATTCAATCTGTAACGGATTGTGAAATAACTCGTATTTCAAACCCATTACTCTCAAATTAGAAACTGTTTCCTGGGTACAGTATTTCTAGTCATTATGTTCCTGATCTGAAGATATCCTGTAGTGATACAATGTCCAAAGAGTAAGCCCAATAGTCAGGACTTAGTCGATTGCAGAATGAGTGACCTAAAATCTAATTTACTCCGATCGCCTATGGCATTTTATTATGTTTATTTTATTTTCGTATTCCGTTTATGAGCATGTCATTTTATTTCATGAAATAAAATTCATCTGGCTAGTAGTCTTGCTTTTGATTTCTAATCATTCGGGGACCTAAGCCAATTATACAGTCTCGTGAGTAAGCGTCGCCCGACCACACTATATCATTGCGTTCATCTGTCAACTAGTCTTCTGTTCATCGATTTTTACATCCTAGATTTCGTTTAATGAAAACAGAAAATCTCCACAAGAGTAGTCATCACAACGACCTTATTTTTCGCCAAATCATTTACCAAGTACAGGCCCGTGAACTCTGTTTTAACCCCCTAATGCCCTGGTACGGCCAAGAATGGGGAGAGTTGGCTCTCCCTCTCTATATGCTCTCACATGGCCACATGCATACAATCACTGCCAGGGAAGTCCTAATCACTACCTTCTCGCGGCATGGGTGTTGTTTACGAAATTGAGAGGACGGAAAGCGAATGTCCGGTGCTTTGACCGGGTTGGTGGATATGTAGAATCCACCTGTGGGAGTTGGAAAGCCCTGATTCCAAACCAATGGTGCACATTGGCTCCGGTATCTTGAGGAAACATAAGGCGTATGAGCCAGTCGTTGGTCACAGACTACCATGGGGACTGCATCTCCAGATGTCGCTCCACTGCCTTGTGGATTAGACCTTTAGATCAAAGGTTCCGGGTGTGATCCCCTGAGAAAACCATTTGTTTCGGTCTGGACACCCGATCTTTATCTCAGCCTTCACACAAGTCGAATGATTTATGTGGCGCATATCTATTTGGTCCCTCTTTTTACCAATGTTTGTGTTTAAATGAATAAAAAGATTCTAATTATGGAAGCTAATGATACTACCCGGTTCCCTAAACTAGGGTAGGTGACATGGGGCTTCAGCTTGTGGCTTAATGACTGAATACCGATCTTCCTATCCATTTATGAATCGCTCCACCTAAGGTAACCTATTATGCAAACATTTTCATTGTTATTCGGTTTCATGTAATTTTTGTTATTTATCACGTATAACCAGTCATTTACTATTGTTTCAGCTTTGTCATGTTTTCTCTTAAACCAATAAGACTGGCTTATGATTTCACTAGCTATCGTTATTCATATCATAGTATGCTTCCAACTAGTTCGAAGAAACAACGTACGTGGATCACTTATTCTTTACTGGTATGTTATTACTGTTTACAAGATGTTTTGTTTGTAATTATTTGTTTTGCGTGTAGTTGAGGATTTGTATGCTCAAATTTTCTCAGCTTTTATTCGTAAATGTATCAAGAAAGATCTGAATTGTGTATATTTGCACATAGATGGAAACGATTGGCAAGCAGTCTGATCGATCAAGATTCTACATTTTTTCACAAATAAAAATATTTTTTTATGTCTGATATACAGATCAGGAGCCGAGCACTTAGGTGCATCAACTTACTTAGGTTTTTTTGGAGTTATAAGTCTCTTGCTTTGTTGACTGACAAAATTTTGATGTTGACGCGAAAGGCTCGTTCAACTTAGGGCTGTGAAATATAGCTTGAGAAGGTAGGTTAGAAAATGACTGAGGACACTCAAACCTAGATAGTTCGTCTGTCCATAAAATCACCAGTTATACTGAATTATAAAAAGCAGTTCAATCCTACTGCTTTTGTTCCGAGTCATCAACGTAATTCTTGAGAGCTATATTTAGCGTTTTATTACTGGTGAGTAACTGCCAAACCACTGCTTATTTACTGTTTAGCGAGGATAAGCTGAGCAGACCAATCTACGCACCTGATTCTGGAAGTGAAAGTATTCAACCCCAATAATCATACTTAAGTCTATTTTCTGAGTTCATCTTACACGTATTTCATCATCGTTCCTGATGCTCTCCGGTCAATTGTATCTAGTTAAATCTAGTCACAATTGATTGATCACTGGGTGATGATCAATATCATGCGTGTCAAGTCCTTAGTGCTGATCGAATGCTATCAATCAAGTTGCAATGTGGCCACCAGTCTAGATGGCTCGATACTGCGTGCACTATATATATTAAGGTAACATGGTGGTTGGAGGTGGTCAACAGGAAACCCTGGACCCGGGTTTCGTGCTACTTGGCACTCGTCAGCAAGGTGTACCTGTAATCTTGAGGGAACTGATGCTCCCTGGCTGATTCGATCCCACATTGCAACTTGATCGATATCATTCGATCAGCACTAAGGACTTGACACGCATGAGATTGATCACCACCCAGTGATCAATCAATTGTGATTAGATCTCAGTCCTACAGGAGGTCGGTCGCGGCCCGAATAGCTCAGTGGTAACGTCTCTGACTGTGAAGCTGAGTGAGACGGGATCGAATCCGCCAGGAAGCATCAGTTCCCTCAAGATTACAGGTACACCTTGCTGGCGAGTGCCAAGTAGCACGAAACCCGGGTCCAGGGTTTCCTGTTGACCACCTCCAACCACCATGTTACCTTAATTTAAATCTAGTATTTCACTTAGTTGTGTAGCCCAATTAATTGTGAGGTAACCGTCAGTTAAGCCATTAAATCAAAAACCCATGGTTGACTCTTGACCATCATTGACTCCCAGTACAAAAATTTGTCTCATGGCTAGACAATTAATTCTACATGTGGTCACTGGGTTCTTTACTGTATTATTCTTAAAGACGTCTATGCATCTCTTAGTAGTCCCGTATATGTGTAACTTTACAAGAAGTGTTGTGTTCTCTTTTCTGTAAATTGTTGTGTTCGAAAGGTGCATATACCACATAAAGGTGCATTTTAGAAAATCCCATCATATATTTGTAACTTTTTGACAATTTGTTTCAGGTCCTTCCAGCTACTGCATTCGCTTTAGGATATTGGCAGATACATAGAAGAAGGTGGAAAATTGATTTAATTGCGAAAATAAACGCGAGGATTCCTGCTAAGCCCATTCAATTGCCTAAGAAGTTTGTTTTTTCTCTTTTAAATGTAATCACATATTTTCGCAATTTTAGCGTTGACTCTAGCATTCAACTTCCTGAGTTCACTCATATCTCAGTTCGAGGTTATTTTGATCATTCGCGAGAAGTAGTAATTGGACCACGCTCGTTAATTGAAGATTTTATACCTTCTAAAGGCTATGGGAGTGAATGGGTGGTGAGATCACCGACCAAGTTTACGCAGGCGAATATGGCTCGTCCATCTGCTCCTGGTTATTTTATCGTCACACCATTTTTCTTAGAAGATAGACCTGGGTAAAAAAGCGAAGTTTTGGGGACTCGATTCCCTGTATTTCTGATTAGTTAATTGACATCTGTTTTAGAACCTCCATATTAGTAAACCGTGGATGGGTCCCATATGGTGCACGTGATCCTACCATTCGACCTAATGGCCAGGTAATTAATGATTAGTCTAAGAATTTATCTGTGCATGGCAGTCTACTAACAAAGTATAGTTTAGTTTAATACTTTCTCCCTGCTTTGTTGTTAACCCAACGTAACAGATTTATCGACCTTCACCAGTTTTATTCTATTTTTAGGTTAGACTTATTTTCAAAAGCTTTTCAATTTATACATATTGAGTGGATTCGTAATCCGTCGATCTAGAGTCTCATTTTTCAATATTATAATGGCTCAATCATTTTGACTAAGATACTGAGATAATTTGGATGGTCAGTTTGTCAATTTACTCACGATAATGATCCCCGATTCCCAATTAGGTAGATTAAAAAAAAACATTTACTGAATGAATAACTACGCGAATTGATTTACAAGTTAATTAAACCTAACATCCATGTATATAGTACTTGATCAAAGTAGCATGACTATGAGTTCTGTAATTTCTCAACTGAATGATAAAGTCTGAAAATAAAGGTCAATAAACAATCAATTTCTCTTCATTTTAGCCTGCCTTGACGGTTGCTTTATAGATTCGGATCATATATTATGGTAGGGAGGTGAGTTTATGATCGTCATCATTCTTCATCGCGTCATGATTATTTCTAGTTTTGAGATCATTTTCTCAAAGAATGGGTATCAATTATTAAGTTATTGCCAACAATAAAACTATTTTGCCCTAGTTTAAAACTGTTGATCAGTGTGCACCTACAATACCCTAAAGTTTTATCAAGCTATGAAACAATAGTCGTATCCTTAACAGTGATGAGCTCCCAAATAATTTCTGAATGAGGTAATGATCAAGTGTGACCTAATAAGTCAGCCAACCACGCCTGAGATACAACATTGAATATATATTACATGTTACTGACTGCGATGGGAAATATAACATTAGATTTTCATTAAGCGATATCATACTCGACTTAATTTGTAAAGGTTTTTTGGCTCGACTATGTTTGAGTTCATTAGTGTGCATTCCTAATGAGTCCAAAAATGTAGAATTAATTAGCTAGATAGTACCTATTAAATCTATGTTAAGTGTTCTTACACTCTCGGATAGTTTGGTTGAAAATAAACTAGTCACTGTATTTTCATAGTTGCAAGCGTGAGTCAATTGAAGCTAGACCACCAAGGAAAACCTGAAAGCACTGGACGTCCGTTTCGTTCTTGTTGGGGATGTCAAATCCCCAGAACTTACTTGGTAAATGGCTTAGTTTTGTAATTTTATTTTGAAAATTTGAATTTAGCTGTTTCCGCGCCAAACGCGCTCTTTTTACCTTCACGTCATATCTCCCACTTGTAAACTGTCTTAAACGCTATTGGTCCATTGTTTATTTGTGTGTGCTATTTACCAATGATGCTCAAGGACAAATTGTTGTTGTATAAATGTGCTTGACTTTTTCCCTTATCCGATTGCTTGTACTCGGCTGCTTACGGAATACATATATATTCCCCTACTTGCCATGGACTTCTTCATCTAGTTAGCGGGGCCTGGGACAATAGATTAGAATAGCTTATCGTGTCATTGTGTCATTGGCTTTCGTTCGTTACCGCGGAATCGACTTAGTGTCAAACATAACAATTGGCGACGGGGACAAAAGTGAGAAATGACGCTCCCTTCTGACCGCTTTCAGTTGCTCTTTGACCGACATTCGGAGTTCATGGTCAAACTACGCACACAGTTTCTGGATCATCAATGCTTCACATATGCGTCGGAAGTGGATGTATTAATCTCTGAATTACGCACAGAGCCGGAAAATGATCGCAGCCCCCATGACTTCTCAACAAGCCGCAACCTAAACGAAACAGCAGTATCACAAGACACGCCCGGTTGTCCATCACTGTCCATTTCAGAAACGTGCCCGGTAGTGGATTCAAACCCCACTATCCCTGAAGTAGCATGTCCGAACAGTGACGCTTCCAGCTCTCATAAACACGATGCTATGTCAAATGCCCATGAAATTGTTGCACCAACCACCCACAAAGTGCCAGACATCATATCGAGCAGCACACCGAGTGGATCGCATTCTGCGATAGAAATGTTTACCGAATCTAATGCTAAAGATTCCCAAGCTTGTCCAGAAAATTTGTTACATGCATCAAATCTGGAACCTAGCGCAGTTTTGGTGGATGCTGTTTATCATAGTGATCCACAACCTGCCAGTGATGTTTGCAATAAGTCTAATGACTACATTTCTGCAGAATCGAATTCTGACCTCACATCAAATGGCGATCCTCACCATCCAGTCAATCTTAGCAGGTTCCCTATTGAATGCCAGAAACATGTTATAAATAGAATCGCATTAATAGAAACTTGGGTATATGAGGATCCAACACTATTTCGTGGGGGAGGAGGAGCTCGGATTTCTTAAAAAAAGGGGAGGTGTTGGGGATGTCAAATCCCCAGAACTTACTTGGTAAATGGCTTAGTTTTGTAATTTTATTTTGAAAATTTGAATTTAGCTGTTTCCGCGCCAAACGCGCTCTTTTTACCTTCACGTCATATCTCCCACTTGTAAACTGTCTTAAACGCTATTGGTCCATTGTTTATTTGTGTGTGCTATTTACCAATGATGCTCAAGGACAAATTGTTGTTGTATAAATGTGCTTGACTTTTTCCCTTATCCGATTGCTTGTACTCGGCTGCTTACGGAATACATATATATTCCCCTACTTGCCTTGGACTTCTTCATCTAGTTAGCGGGGCCTGGGACAATAGATTAGAATAGCTTATCGTGTCATTGTGTCATTGGCTTTCGTTCGTTACCGCGGAATCGACTTAGTGTCAAACATAACAGTTCTATTGTGGGACTCCTTAGCAGTGCGCATCCACAACCTCGCCTCGCGAGATTCGAATCCAGGACCTACCAGTTTCGCGCCAGAGCACTTAACCGATAGACCACTGAGCCGGCATCCTCTGATAATAATAATCACTGTATCTCGATTTGGGACGTGATCAGAAAACGGGACAGTTGAGAAGTTGTCCTGTTATCACTTACTGTTTCTTTATCTGTTGTCGTTACTTCGTAAGGTATATTGCTTTTATTTATTGCTGTGTTCGGAATTCTGTATTGTAACCTTAAGTACATTGATCATTAAAAAGAAAATTCATTATTTACTTATTGTGATATATTTATATTTTTCATAAATTTTAGGTCAAGGGTGTCGTAGAACTGTCAGGTTATATACGGTATCAAGAAAAGGTATTATATATAATTTTACTATTTATATAGTCACGTCTTAATCAGTTTTGTTAATTTCAGTTATATGTAGGCCCAGCAACTGCATTTTTAAACTCCAGAACATTATCTGATAAACTTTTAAATTACTGTATTAGACGCTCAAAAATGTATGCCCTGTTCTTTTTGTTCTACTTGGCAACTTTTAATGTTCATTATCAGAACGGGTTTTGTGGAGATTTAGTATTTTCATAGTTGAAAGCGTTAAAAAATTGAAGCTAGACCACCATGGAAAACCTGGGTTCGAATCTCGCGAGTGCAGGATCGTGGATGCGCACTGCAGAGGAGTCCCATAATAGGACGAAACGGCCGTCCAGTACTCCCAGGTTTTCCATGGTGGTCTAGCTTCGATTGACTCACGCTTTCAACTATGAAAATACTAAATCTCCACAAAACTCCTTCTCATGAAAATGAGTATAATCATATGCTCACTAGTGACTGACTTCGAGAAGTACATTCAGAAGTTCTAGTGAGAAGCAGTGACCAGTGGAGTGCAAACCACGTCTGTTGTGAAATAGGAACTCACTGAAGACAATTGGTGAACGGTCGCTCAACTTTGTGGATCAGTTGAAGTTAGACATTAACACCGTTAGATGACGGCCGGCTCAGTGGTCTATCGGTTAAGGACTCTGGCTCGAGACTGGCAGGTCCTGGGTTCGAACCTCGCGAGTGTGGGATTGTGGATGCGCACTGCAGAGGAGTCCCATAATAGGACGAAACGGCCGTCCAGTGCTTCCAGGTTTTCCATGGTGGTCTAGCTTCAATTGACTCACGCTTTCAACTGTTAATGTACAAACAACAGTAACATTTTAAATATTAGGTTCATTTATATAATGTACGCATCGAATAAAATCTCTTATAATTGTTTAGTATCATGGGATATTAGTCAATGTCAAGGTTCTCTACTATTTAGTGCTGATCAGATTTTGATCGATTAATTTATAATATAGGTGCTAGTCTGTTTTACTTGTTAGTACATTCCACTTTGTTTGATAGTTGGGAAAAAGTTTCATGAGTCAATGAAGTCAATTTTTTTGTTTTGTTTTAATAACCTAATACTTTTTTAGGCACCAATTCGACTATTTCGTTCAAAGATTCAGCCTCTTACTTGTCTGGATTATGAAAATCAAAATCAACATATTCGTTATCCTTGTCGACAAATTGATCAAATGTCTAGTGATTTGAAAACGTTACCGATTTTCGTTGATGCTGATTATGGTAAGTGATGAATGGTGAATTCGTTCTCCTTTTATAAAATGTAAATTCATCTTAATGATTCTTTTAATAGTGAAACAATAATAACAGAAATTTTCTAAGTTTCAGATTCTTATTTTCTATACAGTTTTCATTTCCCTGCATAAATATCAGTAAGGCAAGAACATGGTTTAGATCAGGAACCGACTTAGATAACCATTGGAAATTGAGCAGCACTAGATAACAATCTCATTTATCTTATTATTTATTTAAACACATAAACATTGGTACAAAGGGGCATCAAATATATATGCGCCACACAAATCTCATTTCAGTTATGTGAGGACTGGGATGCTGCCCAGGTGCCCAAACTGAAGTACGTGGTTTTCTTAGGGGTCCACACCCGGAGCCTTTGATCTAAAGATCTGACTCACAAGGCAGTGGAGCATCGTGAGGAGATGCAGTCCCATGGTAGTTAGTGACCAACGATTGCTTCATACGCTTTATGTTTTCTCAGGATACTGGAACCCATGTGCACCATTGGTTTGGAATCAGGGTTTTTCAACTCCCCTAGGTGAACTTTTCGTGTCCACCAACCCGATTAGAGCGCCGGACATTCGCTTTTCATCCTCTCAATTTCGTTAACAACACCCGTTGCATGAGAAGCCAGTGAGTATGACTTACCTCACGGTGGTTATGTGCACGTGTAAGAGCATTTTGAGATGGAGAGCTAATTCTCCCCACTCCTGGCCGTACCAGCCTATTTCATCACTTTACTAACGCTATATTATTATTAGTAGTGTTACTATTATTATTATTAAAAATAATTGATCGCAATCGATGACAAAAAAGACATTGTATGTTAATCGAGCAATATAGGAATTCAACGGCCTTAAAAAGACCTAGAATTTCTGCATCTGATCATGTGTGGAATCCTGGGCTCAAATTGATGGAGTCCGAAATAAGAACAGATTATTTATATAGTAGGTATTGCTTTCCAATTGTTCTTTAATTGATATCAATCCATAATAAATGGTAGCTTCCAATTTGAATTGATCATTACGAACTTCATGTTAACTGACAATAAAAATCCTAAATGTATAAAATTTAATTTTGTTCAATGCAGCCTCTATGAATTCGGTGTTCATCTTATTGTGCTAACCAGGTATGACAACTTGGACCGATGCATAAATGTGCCTGGTCCTACGTTGTAACTGACTGACTGACTATCGTTTACTCACTGTTAATCCTACTTATTTTGATCAGTAGGCTAATGCATAGTGTCTTATGACACCTGTATTTCAGTATTATCATGATTATTTTTGTCCAAAATGTTTTCAACCAGTGTTAAGTGTAAAAAAGTGACTGGTATTTGTAGAAATTGGTTTATTCATACAATTCACCTTAAATAAACAAAGATATATGGTTAGAATTATTCACTAGCCTCCTGGTATTTGTATTCATATATTTTTTAGAGTCTACGACTGTCGGTGGGCCAATCGGTGGACAAACTCGGGTTGTTTTTCGAAATGAACATGCATCGTATATTTTCACTTGGTAAGCTTCAATGTGATTTTTCTTTTCTAATATTGTATTTTTAAAATATTTCATTGCTATATCTTGATGCTGTCTTTTTACCAAGTATAAGTTTCTTCACTCTACGTTGAACCACACTATTTTGCATAAGAGCTGTACAAAACGAAGTAAGCAGAATGGGGTTCAAATCTATGGTCTATTGGTTCAGAGCTGATTAGTTTAACTACCATATCAAATTGTCATAAACAACGCAAGATCTAACTCAGATGTGAATCAATTCAATTTTCCACACTTTATGCTACGTGACTAAGGGGTTTCTGGTTGTTCTGAATCGATCAGTTATCATGAGATTTATAGGAATAAATATTTTGTGTTCATCGTTTATTCGACTGTCACAAATTGAAAATTAAGCTTCTCCATACTGTTCACTGAACCTATAAATAAAATAAATTATATACCTGAAAGTAAGATGACACATTCATATGGTGCAAGTAGTCGATTTTGACTTAGAGATAGAATCTTACAAGCAAGTATCACAGTTGCCAGTCTCCATCATTATCAACTTTAATATGTATATTTACAGAATTTCAATTAATTATTAGAATCAGATGTAAGTGGGAAAGGTTTGTAATTGGAAAATGTAACTCAGTTCATAATCATATACCTAATAAAATGTGATAACGCAAATCATAGTAGGTTTATTTTAATGACTTTTTCTACAAATTTTGTGCCATTTTGCAGGCTTTCATAAGTTCAATTTGTTCTTTTTATGGTTTTAATGGATGATATATTATTTACAAGAATATATTTCATCCGATGAAATATCTTCAGTTTAGAGGACTTTAAAAACAAAGAGTTGGTATTAACCGTTCGTTTAAATGAGCTATCAAAAGAAGTTTTTCAGGGGAGCATTTATAGATAACAATTGGTCATATTGGTTTTTATAGGCCAGAGACTATGTAACCTCTGAAGGTATGGAAAGTTGATAGCCTGTAGTGTCTCAGGTCGTGTAAAAACGTACTAAATTCCGAAACGCTTGTTTACCATTCTCTTTATTATTACAGTACATTACTTAATTTAGAACAATGCTGTATGTGTGTCATTTCAGACATTAAGAGAGCCGATTATACTTCGGTTTGATCATGACTTGACTTATCACTAATAGTTTATCGTATCATGTGAGGTGATTTAATGCTAAAATTAAACTAAGGATAACGGATAGTTCCAGTAACTTTCTGTTTAATAATTTCACAGTTTATTAATGTTCATTCATTTATTCACCTTCAAAATTATCTCCATATTTCAATCATTAATAGGAAAACTCCCTTCTTTTCTAGGTTCTCATTGGGTACCATCGGTCTCGGAATGTGGATATACTTTTTCATTTTTTAACTGGACAAATAAAAGAAAGAACGAATTATTTTGTACATACAAATATAGTTTAGATACCCAGACAAGACAATCCACACATTTACCTTTCCTTTATAGTTATGGTTTTTTAATTAGTTGTCTACAGCATTATCTCAGAGAGTATATATGTAAGTAGGCTAACTAAAAGTGTCACACGTCCACATACATCCAACAGAACTCAATAAGAACCTGATCACAATGAAATCTTAATTCTTAGTATTTCTAGTATTTCCCTAATCAATCTCCTGGTTTCATCTTTTCCAATGTATTTATTTATTTAAACACAAATATTGGTACAAAGGGCCACCAGATACATATGCACCACACAAATCTCATTTCATTTGTGTGAGGGCTTTGATACTGCCCGGCTGCCCAAACCGAAGCAGGTGGTTTTCTTAGGTGACTACACCCGGAACATTTGATCTAAAGATTTGGCCCACAAGGCAGTGGAGCATCGTGAGAAGATCCAGTTCCATGGTAGCTGGTGACCAACGATTTGTTCATACGCTTTATGTTTCCTCAGGATACTGGAGCCCATTGGTTTGGAATCAGGGTTTTTCCAACTCCCCTAGTTAGAGTCTCCATATCCAGCAACCCGGTTAAAGCGCCGGAAATTCGCTTTTCATCCTTTCAATTTCGTTAACAACACCGATGCCACGAGAAGGCAGTGAATAGGACTTCCCTGGCTGTGGTTGTATGCATGTGGCCATGTGAGAGCATATAGAGAGGGAGAGCTAACTCTCCCCATTCTCGGCCGTACCAGGGCATTTGGTGGTCTTTTCCAATATGTCACTGCTGTCCGAGATTAAGAAGTATTCTCCCGATTGCACATACTTAAGCACGGTGAAGTTGATATGACGAGATACTATAGACTATGTAATTAATAAATTAAAGTAATCAACGAAACAGCACAGTGTTATAAACGATAAGAGGCTGCTGGTTATAACTCTAGGGGTTTCTTGTTATAACAGTCCTTTCACTTTCTACACGTATGTGGGACGTTAATTTACCTAGACGAATATCTACACTAGATTCTCACCCAGTGTCTATTCTACAGGACTTCAACACAACTCAGATCAAGAACACGAGATTAGTCTGACTACAACGTCAATATATTTCCACACCAAAATCCGACACAAGAAACAGTCAATCAATAAGTGTCCATCAACCAGGAACAGTTAATACATAATAAGGATAGGGGAATATATATAACACATAACACCTGTCATCCTATCTAATGTTTGACTCATCAAGACAACCAATCACTGTCATTCTCGCCCACACATCACACAGTAACAAAACAAGATAGAGACAAGTGATTGTATCATCTGAACCAAGAATAGGAAGTACGCTTGATTGTGGAGATAAGATTTCAGATTTATGTATTGAGGGCAGGTGACCTACAGTCTGTATTAGTCCTTTACTAGTCAGCTTCTGAGTGTCTAGTCTTTCTTTGGATGAGTTGATCGAATGGGCGGACACCACTTTCTTTCAGTAACAGGTCCCAAGAATTGACGACTCGGTGTTAAAACATGAATGTTATCGGTAATTTGTTTTGATCTTGTCTTCTGAGTTGTCCTGATCTGGTAGGGAGAAAAGGTGAGAATCCGTCAGGTCCCAAATCATTTCTTAGTATTCTAAACATCAAAACCAGATCATCTTTTAATCTGTGGTAGGTCATAGTAAAGAGGTTTATGTGATGTTTAAGAGTATTTGAACTATAGTATGAACTAATAATCTCAGCAATAACGCAATTTAATCAAGAAGTATTAGATGAGCACGAACGAGTGTATTGTATTTGGAATTCAAAATCAAAACAGTCATCCATACAGAAGAATCATTGTTTCATTCAAGCACTACATCCGCCACAGCTTAAATTGGAGTGTTCATCTTACGTCTATTCAACAGTATTGGATATCGACTCTGTATTATCTAGAATGCACTTGATGGTATTAGGATTAACAACCGAAATTGGAACAGATTCATGTAGTTTCTGGAATTGCATACAATCACCACGTCAGTTGTGTAGTGAAACCACTGATATTTAGGATTTGCATCATAGACTTTCCAACACTATCCTCCCCCACAAAATAGTAATGGGTCCTTTCGTCGCAATGTTATAACCAATATAATCTTCCCAATTTTCATTACCTTCGGTTTGGGCACCCGTGCAGTATCACAGCCCTCACACAAATCAAACGAAATTTGTGTGTCGTATATGTATTTAGTGCCCCTTTGTACCAATACATATGTGTTTAAATAAATTATCTCAAATCTCACGCTTCGATTATTGTGTGTGAGTATTTGGGGATACAAACTGACACGTAATTTGAGGCATTCAATCATCTGACTTTCACGTGCATAAAAATTATGGTACATATTCTTTTTGTTACTCATATTAGAATACACAGATAGATATGCATTGTTATATGTAATCAACACATGTGATTCATCTAGGCTTCATTCACCTGCGAAACAATCGAATGGAAAACATGCATCTGCTTCATACTCATTAGAATAATCTTGAACTTGATTTGGATTATCTGCCTGTGCGAACTCCATATCTGGGCGAACTAGCTCAATGATTGCTTCGAGAAAACTTGCTATTCTCTCTGATTCATCATACCACTCACTAGGGATTCTACACAATAAACATTGTTCGTGAGAATCTCCAACATCTGATACAATAACATCAGAAGTGTGACTAAAATTCAGCTCATTCGGAACATAATTGTCACATTCATTAGGAATATCAATAGAAATGAATTCATTATGAGGACCACCGACACTTTATATGATATCAGAATTTAATTTTTCTGAAATATTTCCCTCAAATTTATTAAAATTTTTATTAAAAAATGATGGATCATTAGGGAAGTCAGCATCTACCAAAACTGAATCCGGTTTCTGACCATTAATTGACTAATTCAACATATTATTCTCAGAGTTGTAAGGAATTTCATCAGAAGTATGTGAATCATTATGAAAAACCATATCTGGTACAATAACATGAGAAATCTGACAAGAAGTTGATTGATTGGAAACTTTTGTCCAACAATGATTCTAAATTTTCTTCAACTCCGGACTGCTGTGTGATGTTATACCGCTTCTAGAAGTCTTGGATAAAGATAAGTCATTAGAAACATCCAACATAGTGGGATCACAGTCACAAGTTTTAGCCCTGGTTTCAACGAAATGAACCATGGTATTACAAACTGACTGAATGTGTCCAGTTTTACCACATCTAATGCATTTAGGATCACGAAATACTCATGAATTACATGGGTGAAACTTGCCATTAGAACAAGCATTTGCCAAACTTATGCTCATCTTCGTGAACTGTTTCACAATTTACTGAATTTTTACCTGAATAACCTTGATTATATATTGGTCTGCGACAACGTTGTAAAGTAGTGGAATACCTGATTTTCTGTCGAGTCATTTAACCGAGTTTTCCTCCCTTACCACATTCGAGATTTGTATACTTTAAATGGTTCAGTAGCAGTTGCTTGAGAGCTGCATTAGGGAGTGAAATGTGCTTGTCTGGAAATGCCAGTCCTTATTAAGCTGTATGTTTCTTTGAAGATGAATGTAAGGAGATGAGTCACAATATTGATATCATCAACATCTTCCTTGATTATAGCCCAGATTTCGATTCTTTCCATGTAATCCTCAAAAGCATTAAGATCTGAATATATGTCCAACCGTTCCATCACAGACTCACTCGCGACGCCAACATGATGTTTAAGAGAATCTAAATTATAGTATGAACTAGTAATCCCAGCAATAACGCAATTTAATCAATAAGTATTAAATAAACATGAACAAACGAACTGTATTTGGAATTCAAAATCAAAACAGTCATCAATAAAAATAAATTATTGGTTTTTATAAACACCACAGTCTAGCTTCTAGTGTTTTTCTGTGTATAGAAAATCCTGGAATTGCATGGGTAGCTGCCCTCTGTACTCTTTCCAAGATATCCGAGTTACTTTTTAAACAGGGGTCTTAACTCAGTTTTCATGTTTGGGTCTTACAAAGTTTGTGTACATTGTAGTGAACATGGTAGTATCTAACTTGGCTAGTTTCTGTCTAAAAGCCCACACGGTTCTGCAACCCTGATCTACGACCACACGGCAGTAGTCAATCTTTTCATTGTTACCCTAAGATCGTTTTGAGGCCTGAATACGGACACCAACTCTTCCACTATGCTCCACCTACTTGCCTTTGTGTCCCTTATGTTCACGTTAATACACTTGGCTGCGCTGACAGGTATCGGCCATTTTTTTAGGCCAATCATTCAGAATATCTAGTGCTCACACATCTGTGTCTCTTGTTATCTGTCTCTAAATTTATACGTCAGTATAAAGTAGCAATGAGGGTCCAATTATACTTGGGAGTCCATTTCTCATGCAGTGTAAGTAATAAAGGATGTTGGTTTTAGCCTTGCACTATTCCACTAAGTACTGGTTTCCAGGAAGAGCGATTGAAAATGGTCCTTTCTTTCTGTCTACGACCTAGAAGAAAATCCTTTGTCAACTATAGGAGAGGACTGCAAATTCCTGGACTTTTCAGCCTCAAAAGAAGTTTGTCACTCCACATCCTATTAAGTGTTTTGCTGAAGTATGCGTGGATAGCACTCACTGGTTTTTCATTATCTAGGGATCTTCCATTTCTCTCTTGGCATGAGGTTTGCTGTGCAAGATAATCCTTTATTAAAACTACTTTGTTCGCTATCTAATAAATTGTTGGTTTCTACGAACGTCATTATGACCTTCTTGATGATTCTTTGTAGTATTTTGTCTACGATATTGGTGAGGCTGACAATTCGTTAGTTTTATGTTAGTTGTCTTGATCGTGTTGTGTGAATCATAATGACAAGTGTATCCCTCTAGTTCAAAGTGGACTCACCTTGACCAAGTGACGCATTGAATATTGTAGTCAATATGCTGTTCGATTCGTCCCAGGATTTCAGGGTGTAGTTGATCTGGCCCCGTTGATATTCCGTGTCGACAATGTTAGGATCTTTAGTGCATCGTCTTGGTCAAAGTCACTTATTTCAAACCGACCTGTGCGCGTCCCATCGTACTTACTGTTTCAAGACTGATGTTTGGCAACAAATAATAAGCCCCATAAATTTTCGTGAAGTGAGAGGTACATATCACAACAACTATTCTGAAGTGGCATTCCTTTGCATCAAACAACTCACACGATGAGAATTCTGGACTGTTAGCTAAGAGACTCTGAGTTGGTGATTGACAACCTGAAATAGTTTCGCTTACATATTAC